TATCTGAGCTGCTGTGATCCTGGGATCTATTAGATAATGACAGCTGCCCCCTGTTACAGCTGTAGCCACCAGAGAGAGGGGCAGCTCCTTCTTCAGCTCCATCCTCATGGGTTCCCAGGAAACTTGTCTCAGGCCAAGTGCAAACATGAAGAACACTGTTCCTTGAGCAGTTGGTAAAGTTGTGGCCAGAAGGAATCTCCCACCTGTAGAAAATGCATCACTGTCTATATTCAACTCAGAACTGGCACAAAAATGAGACTCTCTGTCAGAGCTGGAACTCACGCTGGGGGAATATGTGGATCTCAGCAGCGATATGGGAGACTGTTTGGAGGCCTACATGCTGAGATGTGTCAGAGCTTCCCACAGAGAATTTGAGAAAAGAAAGACAAGGAGAGAGAGAGAATGCAAGGCTAAAGGAAGAAAAAGACTTAATATTCAAAGAACACTTTTAGAGTTATTTAATTGTACTATCAAAGTCAGAGAAAGAGTAGAATCCAAAAAGACTCCCAAAAGAGGAATTCATTATAGATGTATAGATTTCTGCCCTCAAATAAATGACTACCATGAAATCCAATTTCATGTCCCATTCAGCCCAAACCCTGAAAGAACTTATGTGGCAGAATCTTTCCTTCATTTGCTTATTAGTCTTCTTTACCAGTACTCCAGTGGTAGACATGGCCATCTGGGAAGACAAGAATCTGTCTTCCCACATGATCATATACGCATATAGATAAAACACAAATGAAAGGTTTGTGTACAGCCAGTAGAAGGGCTTTAAAAATTTTTCTGGTTTTGAAATCTGCAGCCTGATGGCTTGTTTGCTTGTTAGCATGAAAGGCTTGCTCTGGGTCTGTGCTCGCTTGTTAGTGAAGAACCAACAGGCATTGCAGTCCAAAGGCAATCACAGAATGAAATCACTTCCAGATGCCAAACCCCACTCCTGATGGTGAAAGCAGACTTTACAGTTGCAGTGGACCAGGTACTCAATGGCTCTCCCCCAATCCTACTATGGTTTTGCATATGCACATGTGTTCTCGTACTCCTCTTCTCTCTGGTCCCTCTCTCCTGCTTTTTTCCTTCTTTATCATCCCTTGCTTTCCTCAACTTAGATAAATTTTCATGTGATGAGCAAATCAAAGCTGGATATTCCCCAGCCTCTCTTCTCCCATAAGTATCTGAGCTGCTGTGATCCTGGGATCTATTAGATAATGACAGCTGCCCCCTGTTACAGCTGTAGCCACCAGAGAGAGGGGCAGCTCCTTCTTCAGCTCCATCCTCATGGGTTCCCAGGAAACTTGTCTCAGGCCAAGTGCAAACATGAAGAACACTGTTCCTTGAGCAGTTGGTAAAGTTGTGGCCAGAAGGAATCTCCCACCTGTAGAAAATGCATCACTGTCTATATTCAACTCAGAACTGGCACAAAAATGAGACTCTCTGTCAGAGCTGGAACTCACGCTGGGGGAATATGTGGATCTCAGCAGCGATATGGGAGACTGTTTGGAGGCCTACATGCTGAGATGTGTCAGAGCTTCCCACAGAGAATTTGAGAAAAGAAAGACAAGGAGAGAGAGAGAATGCAAGGCTAAAGGAAGAAAAAGACTTAATATTCAAAGAACACTTTTAGAGTTATTTAATTGTACTATCAAAGTCAGAGAAAGAGTAGAATCCAAAAAGACTCCCAAAAGAGGAATTCATTATAGATGTATAGATTTCTGCCCTCAAATAAATGACTACCATGAAATCCAATTTCATGTCCCATTCAGCCCAAACCCTGAAAGAACTTATGTGGCAGAATCTTTCCTTCATTTGCTTATTAGTCTTCTTTACCAGTACTCCAGTGGTAGACATGGCCATCTGGGAAGACAAGAATCTGTCTTCCCACATGATCATATACGCATATAGATAAAACACAAATGAAAGGTTTGTGTACAGCCAGTAGAAGGGCTTTAAAAATTTTTTTTCTTTTTTCACTTGTATGTAGTTAGTATACTTAAGTTATTACTTCCCTTGTGAATAATTCATTAAATTTTAAATGCAACAGAATGTAGTTCTTCTCAGGCAGAATAGCATATAGCTCACACTCGACCATTTACTCCCAGATGTTTATATCCACAGGGTCCAAGAACTCCATAAAACTAGGATAATAGCACATTGAAAATATCTGGCCACAACCCATAAAAGTACGTGCATAATAAAAGTGCTCCCACTGCCCCATCCTCCCTCCAGTGCAAACTTTCCAAATGTTTCAAAGTAATTTTCCAAAGGTGTAGTGGGGGTAGACACTAAAAATCCTATATACTCACATTACTGAGACCTGAGTTCAAGATCAAATTGAAGAAGTATAAGTACCTAACCCCTTTTAAAATAATCTCTTAAAAATGAACCCAGAAAGAAAGGTTTTAAATGGATGGTGAACTGTTTGTTTTATTGTAAGGAAAATAAAATGGGTTCGTATGTGCTTGTGAATAGATGTCCAAAGTGATGGACTTATTCTCCACATGGCCAGATTTTCACCATCCTGTTCCCATCTAAACAACTGCTGTTTCTCCAACCATTTGCTAATGCTGGGTTTTTTTTCCTATTTGATTTTAGAAATATAAATTACTTTCTATCAGCCTCTCAAACAGCCACTCACCTTAGAAGCATAATAATTTATGCCAGACAAATAGCAACACGCCCTAGTTTATTCATTTACAGATTCTTGTTAGAAATAAAAGGCATCCAAAATACTGGCCATTTAGATGCCCAGTCAATATCATCTGTTAGACCTCACCTACTTAAGAGGATAGAATTAGGCATATGAAGCAGAAAACTCTTCTGCATCAAGGGAGGGAGTATGGCAATGATAGCAAACTGGTTGGTGTGATATAAATGGGAGGAAGATGTAATACATGAATATGTCCATAACAGGCTGTTGCTACCCAGAGAGGTATGTAAAGTAGTATAGTCAGGGAGGTGGGAAAGATGAAGGATTATGTCTGACAGCAGAATAAGGCAGAGGACAAACAAGGGAGGAGTATAACTGGATGTATAGTAGAAACCAAACTGTATTTGAAGTCAGAAAATATGGGGGTAAGTTAAGCTTTTCCTCTTAGTAATCATGTGGGTTGGGTTTAGTTTCCTCATTATAAAGTTGAAATAATTACTCTTACCTTGGATGATTGCTGAAGAGACCAAGGGAGTTAAGAGGCTTTGCCAGTTGTAAAGTATTACACATTTCTGTCTGGTCAGAATGAGTAAATTATATAAAGAGTTAGCTGATGAAATAAAAACATCCTGGAACCTAGTCTCCCTTTCATTTATACCTAACACATGTTAGAGTAATGCTTTCCATCTCATTTCTTCATGTGTTAAATGGGGACTGCAATATGTGTCTTATGTGGCTGTTGCATGAGCAAATCAGAGATCATACACTGCAGATTTATAAAGGGTGAATGAGACACTATTCAAACTCACGCCACTATCACACTTTGGTGAAACACAACACGTGTTCATTCATTCCCTCATTTGGTCAACCAACATTCTTTGAGCATTAAAGTATGCCAAACTCTGCCACACCCTAGGAATACTTTGGTAAATAAGATAGGCCTGAACAGTGCTCATCAATCTACAGTTAAGTTTGTTAGCAAATTACTTGCAAAGTGAACTGGTAAGCCCACTTTTTGAAACCACATTTTGAAACATTTACAATATTCCACCATACTTACCCTTTAATACAAAAACACAGAGTAAAGTAAGTTTAGTAGAAAAAGAGCTAGATAAGTTAGGAAATGAAGATTTAGTTTCAGATCTTCACATCACTCAAAGTCTTTGTGCCTCTGTTTTTCTATCAATAAGATTGGGGTAGTACAGATTCTATGTGCTTTAAAGGATTTCCCTTAAAACGACTGGGTAGGTGCCCTTGTTCTAAATCTGAGAGATGAAAAAAGTACTGCAAGGTAGACTACTGGGCAATTGATATGGTTTCTTCAACAAGTCAACAGCATGAAGAAGAAAGAAGGAATAGCAAAGGATACTTGAGAGATAAAACAACCAAATAATGTGTAAACTTTGGATTAAACAGCAACTGCAACAGACATTTTGTAGACTTTGGATTAAACAGCACCTGCAACAGACATTTTTTAAGGTAATTGTGGAAATTTGAATATTGTTGGAGTTTTGGATGATTCCATAGATAATTTTCTATAGGTTTTGTATCTATATATAATTCTGTATGGATAGATTTGATGATAAATGAGTTTACAAGAAATGTCCTGAACTTTCCAACATACGACAGAATGAATGACAAATCTGGGACTGCTATAAAATAAAATATTGAATAAACAAAGAAATAATTATATAACAAAAGAAAAGCGATTGAAGTCTTCAACAAACACCTGTGCATATCCACATGTTACAGCCAAATTTTAAAGTCAACAGTATCCCCCATTTTTTTCAGTTCTCTGATGCATACACTAAATTACAAAACTGTGTCAAGTGGAAACATTTTCTCTCCTTACTTGAGTTCATTTTGGGGTGGGGAAAGAACATAGGAAAGGAAGTTGTCAAACTTATTTTTCTGTAATAAAATTTCATTAAATTCATGGCTGCTAGACTCAAAGTGGGTGACCGAGGACACTTGAGTCCTCCCATCCTGTGCCTGGATGTGGTATGTTGCAAGGCTGGGGGAGGGGAGAAGTGGGTGGAGAGAGGCAAAGTAGTCAAATCCTTCCACAAATGATCTGATGCCTTAAGAGTCAGTAGACTGGGGCATTTTTTTTACTTTGTATATTTAAACTAGCATTCGTCTCCGCTTACCTAGGGCAGAAATAGGGCAAGGCGTAATTCACCGTGTCTTAAACCCTTACTACTCAAAGTGTAGGCTTCAGACCAAAAGTACTGACATCACCTAGGAGCTTGTAAGAATGGTAGTAGGCCTGACGCCACCCCAGACTTACTAAGTCAGAATCTACATTTTAACAAGATCTCCAGTTGGCTTTATAGTCATTCAAGTTCGAGAATCTAGGACTTAGAGAATCATCAAAAAGAGTAACTACACAGAACCATATCATTATCAGCATTTGTGTGAAAGTGAAGAGAAATGAAGCAACTTGCAACCAGACAATATCAAAATAGCATTTGGTCTGGAACTAGTCACACAATGAAAGAGTTTACCTTGCATGCACAATTTTCTGAACTCATTCATCTATAATTGCCGACATAGCTGGCCTACTAGCCTGATGGTATACTGCCTCAGTGCTAGGTACTTCCACCCTAGGTTTCTTTCTTTCTTTGAAGGTTGGAAGTCACTGGCCCCTCTGAGTGTCTGAAGGTACAAGCTGGCAGTTCCAAGAGTCTCTCAAAGCCTTATCTTCTTGTGAACTTAGAGTTAACCAGGAAGTCTTCTTAAAATATCCAGATCTTCTGGCGCTGTTGCAGTTGTAGCTGTATTCATACCGCCAGTTCCTGGACTTGCCGTTGGAATGCAGAAGGAGATATCCAAGCTGGCCTGTGCATACAGTAAAACAACAAATTTGACTAGTTCTATATTGTCGGAACTCAACCAAGAATTAGGAGAAGTGCGAGTTGCAGTGCTTCAAAATCGTGCTACTATAGACTATCTATTGTTAAGAGAACATATGGGATGTGAACAGTTTCCAGGAATGTGTTGTTTTAATTTGTCTGATTTTTCTCAAACTATTCAAAATCAGTTAGACAATATCCATCATATTATTGATAAGTTTTCACAAATGCCTGGGTTACCTAACTGGTTTTCTTGGTTTCACTGGATATGGCCCATAATTGTAGGTCTGCTTTTGTTATGTATTTGTATTCCTATTCTGTTAATGTGTGTATGCAATCTAATTAGTAGTTTATTAAAACCTATACATGCTTATGTTACTCTACAAGAAGTTATGTTAAAGAAATAATCAATCTTCTCATGTTTTCTTCTGTCTGCTACTTCTATAGCTTTTCTTCTTCCTTCCTGATTACAGCCCTTTAGTAGAATTCGTGCCTCATATTTAAAATTACCGAGTATCATAATTCTTCCAAGTGGTAAAGATACCTCAAGATAAGTGCTAGGCATAGAAGCCACAGGGCATAAATCTGCAAAGAAGTAAAAAGTTAACCTTTTCAAAGAATATTGCTTCTCTCTCACTTACCAACTTTACATTTCCCTGTATGGCCCCGGAAGATGGCTGGTTAGCCAGAGACGGGTAAGATTCCTCAAGGGAGGAACAACCTAAGACAGGCACAGTCGCAGGGGGGCCATCAGGTGAGAAATTGGGGGTCAACAGAGATGAGGCTTAGAACCTCATCCCCCCTGTTTTGAGAGAAATTTTCTGCATCCGTGGATGTTTTGTTGCCCTTGTCTAGCTTGGATTAATACTTAGTCTATAGGCACAGACCTGATCATCTACACTTGCCTTCTTACAGCACTAAATTATGCTTTCTATCTTTATCTTGCATCTACCTACCACTTCAGCATTTTATTAAAAAATAAAAATAAAAAAAATAAAAAATAAAGAAATGTGGGATTCACATATAAATCAAGTATAAAAATCAAATGAATAATCATATCTGACTTGATTGTTTATAGTTCATGATGTGTGATCAAAACCAAAAGTTTCTGTGATAATACTGCCCTTGCACTGTTCACCATGTAAGAACTTATTCACTATGTAAGAACTTATTCACCATGTAAGAACTTGTTCCTTATGCTTCAGAAGATTGGAGACTGTTGAGAGTTAGGCTTGGGGTTGATTAATGATTGTGCATTGAGTCCCCTATAGAGAATTTTATTGTTGTAAATAACCATTTGATCAATAAATATGAGAGGTGCCCTCTCAAAAAAAAAAAAATCCAGATCTTGACTTCTTCAACCTTTTCTAATGACTTTTATACTCTCCAGTGGTTGAAATTGTGCTTCTTAGGGAACACAACTGCAGGCTGAGAGCTGTCAGCAGGGTTTGGCAGTGACCCCCCAACCTCAACACTGGCCCCACCACTACCAATGCTTTCTCCTTACCCACCACTTCTGGGCATTTTGCAGATTACTCTCTCAGCAGTACAGCCCCTCCCTGACCTTTGTCCAAGGAGTGTGGCTGTGGTGATGCCCCAGATCTGATGTACGGAAGGGATGGCCCTCTCTGCACCAAACCAGATTATCAGATTTCACTTATTCTGCTAAACTCCATTATACAAGCTCTACACGTTATTCATTTGTCTGGTGACATTTATTAAAGTAACTATAGAGCTACTACCTCAACTACTCCACTGAAGTCTGCTTTATATTATTTAATCTCTATATTAAAATGGTCAAGCATACTAAAATTAGAATTAATGCCAAGAGTTCAAAAATGAATAATAACAATGCAAACCTGAGCATTTGTGTTACGGGAAAAAGCACACCCCTTTTTAAAATGCCTCAAGTCTTTTGTTTTCTGTAGTCCTGGAAATCTAGAGGTTCGAATGGTGAGTATAATAGGAACATCCTAGGCGCCATAACAGCCTCATAAATATCTCCTCAGCAGAGCTCTGCCTCTCCCCCTGGACTCAAAGAGCTTTCTTTGAAGTCACAGTGCAGAAGTTGTACACGTGGAAGAGGCATGCAACTTATTATCATTATTCACCATTGCTTTAGAAGCTTTTAAGTAATACTAGATTTATCACATTTTTCTTACAGCAAATTTTAGTTTCATCTAGTGTTTCTTCTGAAGCCTGAACCAATAAACTGGTTTGTCTTTGTAGTTGATCTGCCACAGTAGTTCCCATATTTTTCTGCCAAGAAGCCCTTTTGGAATCCGATTAAATGGGTAACATGACATTTATAGTCTCAGAGATTAGAACACCTGGAAGGAGGCCCAGAACTTACTAGAGGGTCTCTTGGGGACCCTCTAGTACAAAGCAGACTGGACCTTGTTAGACAGATCTAACTCAGAGCCGACCTTCTGCTACGGTCACCTCCTTAGGTCTATCCTCATCTGGAGCAGCCCCTTTCTGCCACACTGCCTGGCACTGTACATAGTAGTGCTCAGTGAATACTTTGCTGAAGGGCTCATGTAGTCAGTGTGAATGTAAATGGTTTGCATTGCATTGCATTGTAGGGGAGGAGAGGGATAGTCACAGACCAGCTGAAAACTTCATTCTGTGCAGGTTTATGCTCTTGCTTTCTATCCGTACATGATAAAACCATCATTTCCTTCTTTAAAACACACACACACACACACACACACACACACACACACACACACACACACACACATTTCTTTATCATTACAAAAGTAAAACATGCTTATTGTAAAAAAAAAAACTTAGTGAACATAAACAAACATTTTCCTACTATCCGGGATAACCAGTGTTACATTTTAGCCACACCCATTCCAATATTTCTCTGTATGTGTGTGTGTGTGTATGTGTACATACTCTTTTGTACTTTTTGGTTAACCTAACATGTCTTGCATTTCTACACACATACACCTACTCTGTCTCCAAAGATCTCATTGAAATAATTTTTTAAAAGATTACTTTTTAAATTCAAAGTGTTACAGCAGTGGAAAACAAGACCAAGAGTCTTCAATGAGTGAGCAAATTTGAAGGATTATAATCAATAGAAAAGAATAGATATCTGGTAAGCAGAGAATTATATTAGAGGCAACAGACGCCCATATTGTATCCAGAGATAAAGGCTGACTTTTGCAGGAAGTCCCCCAGACAATTCTAGCTCAAAATTTACAAATCATACTGTAATGTTAAAGAACTGCATTTGGCACCCCTGAGATGAGTGGGGCTCACTTTCCTTCCCTCTGTAAATAGAATGGTCAGGGAGGCAGCTCTTGTCTTCCAAAGGATGTCAAAAACATACCTGGAAGGACTACTGCTGAATGAACTGTGGGCTAAGAAGAGCAGCACTGAGTTTGATGTGAATCTGGATGCCCACAACAGCTCAGGAAAAAAGGGAGAGCTGCCCAGTGGTCAATACCCCTGAAGACGTCCACTCCAGAGAAAAGCCCTCCTGGCTGGTGATTGGTGAGGAGCCCCAGCCCTACGCATGCTGGTGGCAGCATCTTGTTGTTCCAGAAGGCAATGGAGCAGTGCCACCAAGGTGCTGAGGGGAAACAATTTTGAGCCTAATTTTCTGTATCCAGCCAAATTTAAGTGGGAGGGCTAATAAAAAGGCACTTGCAGGCACACAAGAGTTCAGTAAGTTTAGTAAGCACACACTCAGTAAGAAACTCTTCTGAAGCAACCCAGCCAGAGAAAAATAAGCCAAGGAAGAGGAAAACTTAAGATACAAGAAGCTGAAGCTACCTGCTATGAGCCAGGAGATTTGTGGAGGTGAAAAAGAAAATTGAAGGCAATCCTTTGGACAGGGGTGTGTGGAAGGAAGATTCTTGTTTGAGAGACAAAACGTTCAAGGTTGAGGATTACATTTCCTTCTCTAGAGAAGTCAGTATTCATGTAATTTTGCAAATGTTCCACATTGGTTTTTAATTATTATAATAATTGAAAGACAAAGGACAGAAGACTGCATTATGGTTTAAGAAACTTATAATCATTATAAATACTAATGCAATAAAAATAGGCATAAAACAGAAGAGAAATGAGAAGTTGCAAGTTCTAAATTCCTCATATTTTGAGGCTGATGTATAATGCCTGAATTCAATATAAATAAGAAATAGAAACATAATTATATTCCTTAAGGCTTACAATGATAACTGTTAGAAGCAGAAGCTATTAGCAGGGTCCCTGGAACAATGGGGATCAGGGAAAGCAAGACTTTACTTTTTATTTTTCATTTCTTTATAGAGTATGATTTTTTTAACCGTGTGTGTGCATGTAGTTATATACCTTGAACATCTTTCCAGGTGTGACCCACATGTTACCAGCTTATGGATATAATTGAGATCACATTTATATATTTGGCCAAATTCTAATGGTTCTGAGTCTTTAAGTTTGGGAACTTAATTCCCACCCAGTATCTTCCCATTATTTCTGGAAACTTCCAAAGGGAGCCCTCTCACATAACTATACTAAAATCTTTTAGCTCCAGTCATCATGATCCCTTCCTTCACTGTGTTCTTTCTCCCCTGTTCATTGGTATATGATGTATTCTTGCCTAATTTTTAACGACAATAATTTTTTGATCCTCACAAATCACCAGGTACTTGTTGTCTCCCACTCCAAACCTTCAAATCAAAAGTAAAATTTCCAATTTAGAGGAGGCATGAGAGGTAGAGGGGCAGGCTGAACAACATCATGAGGAAAGAGCCAAACAACCAGAAGATCAACAGCCTGCAGGACAACAGGCTGCACCTCTTCCACCAGTCTGTGCTGCAGCTCTGCTACATTCCAGTGGCAACTTAAAGGGCACAACCAGATGCCAGAGTGGTCCTGGGTTAGGTTCTGTAAAGAACATTTTGCGGTCACTGGGAAATGTGAATTTGATCTAGTTATCTTATGGGGTAAAAACAGAAACATTGTATCATGGAAAGGTAAAGATTGTTGACTAAAAAAGCAAGCACACTGTGAACTCATTTAGCACACAGACACGTACACACACGCATGCACACACACACATGCACATGCACACACACCCACACCAGAAAAGATCTGGAAGAATATCTACTAAAAATTGACAGTTTGTTGTCTCTTATTGGTAACAATGTTTTAATTTTTTTAATGTATGTTTGTTTTTATTTTCTAATTTACTACCATATGTATTGCTATTGTAATAATAAAAGACTATAAAATTCTCCCTTAGACTTGACCTTATGAACTTTAGTCTCTATTTCCTTTGCCTGGACCTTGGATCCCTTCCTCCTCTATCAACATCTAACCCATGAACAACAGAATCGGTCCTCCTTCTCCTCAGTATTTTCCCTCCTCTCCATTAATATTTTCCTCTTAGAAATGCAGAGGCTGTGTGGATAAGTAACCTGGGTAATTGAGGCTGTCGAGTCATACCACCAGGACTCATCTGAAATTCACCCTGACTTCACGTGCACACCTTGTGTTTTTAATTTCTCAGCCTCACCATTGCAGATGCATGAATATCTGAGGGTCAAGACATAGCACATTCATTCCTCAGATCATAACAGTCATAACAATGTACCCAAGTTAAGATGTACTTTAACATCTTTTGTGCTTTTGCTGACAAATAGCTGATCGAAACCTTAAGGCTTCTGCTGTTGGAGAAAATAACACTAGTTCTGAATAGCATGTGAGACTTGGTGAGAGGCCCCTTTCACCTCACAATGTGAGCTGCACATGTGTACCCACACTTGAGTCCGATCCCTAAGCATTTCCAACACCAGGGATGTTAAAGGTATGCTTTTGTGAAACAGCTCTTTCCCAGGTATTCACAAAAGACACAGAGAACAAGCATGTATTTATAACTCTTTGAAACCAATGGGAGTTCCACCTGGGGAGAAAAAAGTAGGGAAAAATGTCACGAAACTAATCAGTAATTTTTCATGTTATCCATACACATGTTTGATTTTTCTGGGAATTTGTGAAAGTAAAGTCACATAGCTGGAAGCAGCAACACATAATAAGTCCCGGGAGATGTGTGCTGGATGGTGGGGAGGCTGGAAGGGATATAGGGGTAAGTGATATTTATTCTTAAGAATGAATTTAAAAATTTAAGAAAATTCAGGAGTAAATGAAAATATGAGAAATGTGATAGTAAGAGAAAAGCACTTAAATGCTCACATTTAGAGAACTCCTACACCATGGGCCTCCTCTGCCAAGTAATGTACACGGTTCCAAAGTAGTATGACCTAGCTGAAATACAGTTAACCCTGGGAGTACATCACAGCATCACTTGTCTTACCATGATTCAGGTGTATCTTGAGCCAAGCAATTGAAAGTATTTACAGGAAAGATTTTGAAAGAACAGTTTATCAACAGCATGGCTCGTAATCCTGATGTCCAACATTTCCTTCTATTTCTCCATTCTCATGAGTAGTCATGCTTTAGGGACTTTACAAGACAAAAATGTCTCGGTGCAAATCTTCCTTTTTCCCCAAGATAATCTCAGGGTAGTGAGCCTGGAGGGTCTATATGGATATTTAAGCCCCAGACTGATGGCCCAGAGAGGAAAAATGGTTTCCCAAAGTAACTGGGGTTCACAGCCTGAACCCAGCTTTCCAAAATCCCAAGTCCAGAGCTATTTAAAATGAACCCCAGACAATTTATAATCACTTACAGAGAGGATATCCTACATGGTGCTTAATTTAGTCCTCTTCTCAGTAAAATAACCCAAAACAAAACATAAATCCCAAGAACCCATCCCCTCACCCCTAACACACACACACAGCCTTCCCTAAAGAACAGCCACAAGACTGCCACAATTATATGTATCCAACAAATATGTAAGCCGGAGAACATCCTTAGATTAATGTGTAGAGCCTTTGGTTTTAGCCTGTCAGAATTAATCATGTCTTCCTATACCCTCTAGGTAAACATTTAGTATATTGTTTGTCTCAAGACAATCATAGTATTCTTTACTATCCTAAAGATTTGCACTCACCATTGCATCATTTGTGGTTTGCATGGCTATTTCTCCCCGTGTGTTGGAAGACCTTGGATAACAGGTGTAGGTCAAATTCATCTCTTTGCCCTCTTATGCCCTGCACAAAGAGAAAGAATGAAGGAATTAGATCAATGAGTTAACCTACACAGCACATCTTTTGGATGGCTCTTCTTCCCTTTTAAGAGGGAAGATAATCTATTATAGTCATCAAGGAATTGTTATATACAACTCCAGTTTTGCACCTTAAGTTTTTGCCACTAAATACTCTTAAAACAGGTTAGACTGAGTAGAGATTTTGCAACTACGGGCATTTAAAAAGACTAAGTTGCACAGAAAATTGTCACCAGAGTCTATCTTGTGGATTGTAAAATGTTTTTAAATGACTTGAATTTAATTTTTATTCTGCTTGGTGTTTAGCCAAGAGGAGGAGCTCAAAATGCTGAGGCAATGCCTTAGCTTTTTTTATAGACAATAAGTGACCAAGCAAGCCGTGATTCAAATCAGGCAGTCTGTCTCCAGAAACCACATGTCTCAACCATACTTTAAAAATATTTGATCTCATCATCTCTTCTTAGGCTCCTGAGGCCCCACGCTTACAGGGTTGAGTGTGCAGGTCTGGCATGCTGGTCAGTGTCTAACAACTGGCCCTCCGGAGGAAAAAAAAGCCCTGTTTGGGACAATTGCTGATTTTTGTGGTGTAAATACACCACCATAGCATATTGAATGCTACTGATGTGATGTCACTGAACATGGAAAAGGAAAGAGATACACAGTATACCATTATATTAATATGTTATTATTTAGCATTTCTACCATATGCACTCAGGAGACATAAGTAACCTCCGTGCAATAATACAACTAGGAAATAATGAACTTTAAATATCTAATAACTTGTTTTAAAAAGTATTTAATTGTGAACTTAGATACTTTTGTTGTTAATAATGGCTGAGTTTAACAACTGGCTTCCTAACTTCCTAAAAGTTTAATAACTAACTCTCCTAAGCCTACAGCACACAAATGGTTTTACCCCAAAATGCTAGTATGTGTCTTACATGAACTTGGACAAGGTATTTGATCTTTCTTGCCTCTGTTTCTCATCTGTAAAATGGGACCAATAATAATACCTACTCTGTAGGGGTTTTATGAGTATTAAATACATAAAGTGCTTAGAACTGTGGCTGGCATAAGGTAAGCATGATATAAGTTCTGCCTTTTACTGCTATTATTCTCCTTATTAATAAGTCAAATACTGTATTTGGGGTTTGATAGGCTGAAGGCAGTTTGGTTGTCTTAAGACTTTTCAAACTCCATAATGATGGCCCAAGAAGAACCAGCTTCAAAGGAAACAGATACAAAACGTGATTAACCTGTATATTACTGGATCATATCTTACACCTTCTGGACAGAATTACATATTACAAAATGTGGCTTCTCAAGGCAGCTGGATCACCAAGAAATCTGACTAACTGAAACCATCTGAAATAAAATGTGACCTCCATGGTGCAAAGATATCTTTTAACAATAATAGATTTTGAAATAAAAATAAAGTGATGGCTAAAGAATGAGGTGCACTCCACTGGTTTACATCTCTCCATGAAGTTATCCTCAGACAAAAGTAAAAAATTAGGCTGCTTCACCTGGGAATGAGGCTTCTTTGAATTATCAGCCCACTGTGTATCACCTATGTGACCTCAAGTCATTTAACTTCCCTCCTTCTGAGTTTCTTCATCTATAAGACAAAGATCATAAAAGCCTCTCCCTCAGGTCATTGTGAGGATTAAATAGGAGATTGTCTGTGTTGAGCACAATGCCTAGCACAGAGGACACACTAATAAATATTAGCTTTTATTATTATTACCACTTGTGTGCCTTCTCATTGAGAAACTTATATGCAGCATTTAAGCAATTGTTTTGATAACTAATTCTGTGCTTGAGGGGAGGTGGCAGGGAGAGCACAACATACTTCCTCCTCGGCAAAGTGGGACTGTTGGTGCCTCTTCTTTCTCTCCCTCAATTCTAATATTAATCCACAAGTATTTTGAGATGCTCCATAAAAAGGAAATGCTACTGCTTTAGGGGACAGAGAGTGGTGGTGCTAATGTCTGACATTTCTTGACCTTGGTATGATGCAGAAATTAAGTGAGGCTTCTAAAGGCCTGGTTTGGCATTCTTTGGCAACTGGGTGACATTCCTCATCATGTCTCATCTGTCTCCATGAGTTATAAGAACCAGCAAGCCTCCAGGATCTGCTGACCAACTGCAACATAGCTAGTTTAAGGGAGATAAAACTTGCTGAAACTCTGAGTAAAGACCAATTAGAAAGAAAGCAGCAGAGTTTAACTGATGAGTAAAAAATGTCCATAGTTTGAGATTTTACAAGAGCATGAAGTTCATCCCATCCAAATGGAATTTCATACTGCCCTTTGCTCAGGGTACATGGCATCACAGTGGGGGTGAAATAAGGGGGCATTATTACGGGGGTAAAACAAGCCTGTCATTTAGAGACTGAATTCTCTGGAGCCCTGGGGCTGCTCCATTCTTCTATAATCCCACAACCAGGGTTTATTACTATCTTTTTTATAGGACATGCAAATTGTCCCTTAGAAAAAAGTTTGAAACTCACTGAACTAACAAAGAACAAAGCTAAACCTAAACAACCATTTCCCTAAATGACCTGGATACTCCTGGGACTACCCCTTACAGGTCTAAATTTACTAAAACCAAACAAGAGCTTATCGAGGCCCTCCTGCCCTATTCACAAGGAGAATTTATGCATTGGTATGTCCTCCAGTTATCAAGAAGCTGGAATGCCAACCAAGGGCCATAAAGGCCAGTTTACCTCCTCCTTAATTAATATTCTTTATGGAAGAAAAAAAATTAAGGCAAATAAAGTTCCTTGCCAAACTGGTACATGATGGTTGAATCTAAACATCTGAATCATGCATCTTTACTTACATTCATGGCCCCAATTAATAGCCAAATTAATTGACTTCATTGGTCATCTACTTTACACTTCTGCCCTTGAGTCTTAGCTCTGTCCTTTGGAGTCACAGGAAATTATTTATTCATTTCTACCAACAAAATTTTATTGACTGCCTTCAATGAGCAAGACACTGGGGTTACCAAATGAGGGAGCTAGACATAGATACAAAATATCTACCAGAAGCTGACAGTTGAGCTCATAGAGAATGGCTTGCTCCATCAACTTCTGGATTACAGACTGAGAAAACCTTGACTGTTCCTTTGACAGAGTAAGTTCAAAGGAACTTACTGTAAGTTTTCTATATGAGAGACTTTCAAGTATTTAAGGACAGCTATGCCACCCTTCTTGAGTCTTCTGGTCTCTATCAACAGTCCCAGTTCCACCAGCCATCACTAGACTGGGTTCAGAGTCTTCCACCATTCTGGTGGCATCCCTTTGTCATATACTCCCATTGTCAATCTCCCTCTTACATGTGTGGGGACAAGAACCAAGACATGTTCCAATCCCAGTGGAGCAGAATAATTATCTTTATGCTAGGTCCTCTACTTATTTAGCACCAGCTACGAACACTAACATTCTAGGCTTACATTAAGCTTGCAATCAAATGTAGGACTTGAGTTGAACTATGCTGTCATCCCTAACAGTCCCGTCATATATTCATGCAATTATTTTGTACCTGAATGTAGAATTTTATACTTACTCTATGTGGCTTAGTGTTAGTTATAGTCAATTATGCCTGCCTATTTAAGGTATTTTTGTATACTGATTTTGTCCTCTTTCAAATTTCTTATCCTTTTTAAGTATTGTGTTTCCCACAAACATGAGAGCATACCAACAGGCGCTCATCAGCTTGAGACCACCCTTTTGGGGCCTTTCTGCATTCCCATAGCATTTTGTATCTAACTATATCACAACACTATACTATTGCCTTACTGCTACTATTATGTTTTTACATGTCTCTTTCCTCATTCAATTGTGAGCTCCCTAAGGACAGTGGCTTATGTGTCTTTGTATATCCAGTACTGAGCCCAGTTTCTGACACATAGAATATGCTTAAAGAAAAACTGTTTATTTGGAAAAATGAATGAGTGAATGAGCCATTCAACCAATTATATCACCCAACCACATTTCTCTCTCTTAGTCTCAGGGCTGCCATGAGGAACTCTATCAAATGCCTTCTTAAAATACAAATCTATAGCTGTACCATTTGTGCTACCTTCCTTTTCCTTCCAGGTTGGATAAAAGTCTCTGTATTTCTCCATGCCTCAGATTCCCCATACATAGACTGTCAAAGCTTATCAAGACTAATAAATGAAATATGTATGAAAGTGCTTTACAAAACATCAAAATGTACAAATGTAAGATATAAGCATTCCCTCATTCTAGCAGCTTTCTCAAAAGAGGAAATTATGTTTACTGACCTTTCAAGAGCATGTGGTTCGTGGCTTCCATTCAGGGGCAGGAAGCGAGGCCTCTGAAGAGAGTGACAAGGAAGGGTTCAGGGGATGAAGACTGGAGCCAAACAGACTACAACCCTCTGTTCCAAATTCCATGTTGAAGGGTCCAGAGAGTCTCCTGCACATCTTTGGTTGGGCCTGTGGAACATCTTTAGTAAGCTATCAAAGTTTATATCATATGAGTGGTGGAATTGTCCTTTGCCCTAGGAAAGAAGGGAGAAAGGCTGAGACATAAGCAGGGAGGTGCCCCTGCCTTGCGGAGTGGTTACCTGCATGTGCAGGGTTGCTCTGTTACAACAGGACAGCACTGTGAGGAACGAGCTGCCTGCCACAGTTTATGAGTATCTGTTCCTATCTGGGTATTTCACTGCTTTTGATATTATTGTCTTATCAAAGCTATGAAGACTGCACCATGTTGGGTGACTCATCCAAACAAGACGTAGGTCCTCAGCCACCTGGGTTCAAGAATTTGGAACTAGGTTTCAGCTCGGCTAGAGAATCTGCTTGTCTTGTGGCCTCCCTCTCCTTGACTTACAAAGAGGATAATTGTACTTGAGGATACTTAAGGATGGAAAAGAAAATTTGCCTTTGTCAGAAGGAAACAGCCCTGTTGAGAATCCCAAGCTGGGAGTGTTATTTTATCAGCCAAATAGTCCAGTTTGTCTACGAGGCCATGCCTCTTCCTTTGTCATTGTACCCCCAGCATCTAGCACAGTGCCAGACACATAGCAGTTGCTCTATAAATATGTATTAAATATATGAGTGTGCCATTCTAAACTAATGAGGATAGGCACCTATGGCCCCTTGGCCAGAGCTTTAAAAGGACAGCAACACTTCAGACCAACGTTAGGATGGTAGGATAATTACATCAAGAACACAAACCAGAGCAATTGACCAGGGGTAAATTGGATGGGGGGATCCAGCTGCTGCATTCCACCTTGAGACTGTCCCTTCACAGTCATCCTCGGCTGATTTAATAAGGGTGGGCTCACAGTAGCTCTGTGTAGAGAAATTACCTACTGCTCAACTATTATTCCAGGCAGATGAGCAGTGCTCACTAACAGAGAAGCCCATGTTTTCAAAAGGAGGCAAGGATGAATTGAAGCCAGAGAAAGGAACTCAGGAATGCTGTGCCCCCCCTGCACAGATAGGGGCTGGGGGTACTCGACCTTCATTAACATCAGGAATCTAACTCTGAAAACTATTTTTCCTGTATTTCTGAATGCTTTATTTCCACCCCCTAACTTAATTTCTTCTTTAAAATGTTATTTTAAATAATTTCTAGCCTGTTCGCAGGAACGGAGAGGAAAAGCTTTCTCTCCTCCCATGTCGTAGGGCAGAGAAGGGCTGGGGTGTATCCCTGGGGAAGAAGTGGCAGCGATCAGCAGGCAAATTGGGTGAGCAGAGAGCTGCATCGCTTCCAGCTTCCAGAGGGCTTGACTCCACTGCAACCTGGACCCTGCTCTGGGGGGCCACAAACAACTCCTCACCTCGAGTCACCTCCTCCTACTTACTGCTGGAGACTTGGGGACCTGGCTCTTGTGGACGTGAGGAGGGTCTAAGATCCAAGGCCGTCGAGTCCCAGGGGAGGCTGCAGCCTCCTGCGCCTTCCCCAGGGCAGACAGAAGAGCAGGGATGCGTGTAGATCCTCCCGTGGAGCTAGACTTTCCTTTCCTCACCTGGGGAGAACACCGACCATGGGCTTCTACCACAGGCATTTCTGGAGGTATTTCGGGGCTTTATTAGGGGAAATCGCGTGGATAAGGACCACTCGCACTACCCAAAAGAAGCTGCGGCGGGGACTACCCGGGCAGCCTCACTTCCTGCAAGGGTTCCGCGGGAGGTGGCGCCACAACTCGTCGCTGCGCAGTGACTGCCCGCCTTTCCCCATCGGAACTCTGGCAGCGCAAACCACAGGTGGAGCGAGTCGGTGGTCCTCGTATGAACCGTGACCGGGGCCCAGCAGCGCTGCCTACCCGGGGCTCCGAGCTGTGGCGCGTGGCGATTCGGACGCCGGGCGCCTACCTCGGAACCGCGTCCCGCGGCTCCCCGGACGCGTTGAGGGAGCACGGGGTTCAGGTACCTGCGCGCCCTTGACCTGGGCCCGCTCCCGCCCTGGTGACCCGGGCTCCGTTTGTTAGGCCACCGCTGCCGTTGGTGCCTCAGTGGGAACGCCCAGGGCAGGGCCTCGGCTAGTGACTGGCAGGAGATGAGTGTGAGATGGGAGCCGATTCTTCCACAACATCTTCTCTGCTATGGGGAGCCCCACGTCCGCTCGCTATGACCGCCAAACATCTTAAGGAGACTGCCAGGTCCGAACTTTCTAGCGATTTGGAGTAGGCAGTTCCTAAGTCCTAGAAGGTCTTCGCGGTTTCCCTCGGGCAGTTTAGTAGGCGGCGGCGGCGGCGCCCCCAATGCCCAGCAGGGTCCCCGCGCAGAGCTCCGCAGGAACGACGCACAGGGCGGCGCGCTTTCCGCCGTCCAGCTGCGGGGTCTGGCGCAGCTCGGGCTTTCTCAGCTCCGCAGGTCGCGCTCAGGGCCGGAGTTCCAGACCCGGGGCTCTGGAGGCCTCGGCCGGCGGGGAGGCGGCGCGCAGAGGGCGCTGTAGCGTGGAGCTCAAGTCCCGCTGCGCGGTGGGTGCAGGACGCCGAGCCCGGGAAGGAGCGGGTTCAGCGCGCTGGGGAGAGTTCCTGGAGATCCGCGAGAGGGCGATAGTCACCAATCCCTTCCTCCAGAGCAGCCACTAGCATTGGGGATGATTAGGGGTGGGAGGCCTGCATTTGTGGATAACGAAAAAGGTCAGGAGCCTAGGATCTTCCCACTCGGCGGCCTGCTAGACTCTGGGGCAGGCTCTTGAACTCCAATCGGGGTTTTCCAAGTTTCGTCTCGCCTCCCTTTCTCCTCCCGCAATTCTGACAACACTCCTGCCCCTCTTCTCACTCACAGCCCTCTCCCGAAGGAGAGCAGCTGTCTACAAGGTGCATATAGCAGCAGGTTGGTTTTTGTACAATTTTTCGTTGCATCTCTCTTCATCCAAATCTCAGGACGTTCTCGGCCTCATATCCACCTATTTGACAGCAGACAAGGAAGCGCTTGTGTACGCGAGCTTGAACCTGAACCTGAGAGCTGACGCTGTGAATGAGACACCTGGAGTTCTTAGTTTGGCCCTGGGGATCCTTTCTGGGACTATTTGGAGGCAATCTCGCAAGCAAGAGCGCTGGTCCCATCTTCTTTCCCTCCTTTGGGACAAAATCAGGGTAGAATGAAATGCGAGGAGTCCTAAATCGTTAAGATCTTCTGGTGTGCTAGAGGAGTCTTAAGTAACCAATTGTTTTGTCTTTGAGACCATTACCCATCCCTAAATGCGTAATTATTTAATGGCCTCCTTCTGAGGGTACGCTGATATAGAGAGCATAGCATTCACACGTGTTTCTGGAGTAACCAATTGTTAGACACCCTCCCCGCCCCCAAAGACTGTCACTTATTTTATTGAAAGAGTCCACTTAAAATATAATTTTAAAAGTCATTACATATTCTTGCAAAGTTAGTTGTGTATATTATTTAAACATGAATAAATAATTTCCACGTTGACTGGGAATTGCCAGCCTAATGGTGGAGAACAGACTCAAGGACTTTTCAACTTCAATAAAAAGAGGAGGCCTTTATGACTGGGGTGAAAAGGGGCTGGAGAGCTAGGCCAATGGGACAGCAGGCCTTTACTATGTGCAAAAGCATTCAGACACATGGCGACCCTTTTGCAATAAAACTTTATTGATGATCGTTTGAAAGTTATGGCAACTCCAAGGTTATAAAACTTGTCATAAAATACCAAGCAGTCATTAGTTTACCTGACCTCATTTCAATATAAACTTCCACAAAACATTTTATTTTGTTCCTTCCTATAAGTGAGGAAAAGAAGTTGAGGTTAGACACAGTGGCCTATTATTAAGGACCCAGAATGTGCAATTTTATGCTCTGACCTTCATCCCTGCAAATAAGGCACTGAAATCCACATTCTATTCTTTCCTGTAAGTATTATTGTAGAAAATATAATACTAATAATAGCTGTGTTTTTGGTGCAAACATCAATTTTTAGCACATAACCTTGGTTCAGATTTGGATGGAGGGTTGCTCCTCTTTGGAAGATCTTGTGAGATATATTTAACAATTGTTAAAGAGTATTTGCTCCCTGGGCTATGCTTAAGAAGTCGAAGAAGCAAAAGGCCACCCATTATTTGGCATGTGACCTGAGGAGTGACTGGTTTAAAATAATCAGTTGGTATTTAGAGCTACTGAGAAGTCAGGTGAATAACCAGTCCCAACACCCCCACCCCCAATCATGAGCTTAAAGGAATGCAGCTGTCCTCGTCAGAGCAGCACTGAGGTTGTACTGCAGCAGAGAACCCAAACTGGTGTTTGGAGGAAGCTCCAGGAGACAACAAGCCTGAGCTCTGTTGAATTATCATTGTCTCTGGTACAACTGTGTATGTGGACTTAAACCATAGACCAGAGAAAGAACCAGAAATAAAACACTGGTAAATCTGAGTAGCTTCTCATCCACTTAAGCTCCACTTTGGATTGATTGAGGACCATGTTCCCTAATGCTGTATAATTAAGGTCACTCTACCTTCTTTTAGGGCATAGGGATTTGTGAGCAAGTACAGATGGCAAAGGTTGACCTTCTGTAACTGTGTGCTAATTTCTCTGAAACATGTAAAGGTCTGGTATACTTTTCACTGATTGTTTAAAATATACACTTCAAGATAGATCCAGCTATATATGCATTTATAGTGGTTTAGGAATCTAATATGAAGAATGCTAACTGCTTTATGACCTCACTGGAACTTTCTCAGTGACGTTATGCTTAATTTCCTGGTGTGCCTTAAGATATTTCAGATATTTCACAGAATTTTAAATAGAAAAGAACATTTTAAAAATCAAAATCTTATGTTAAACATTGCTTTCTTCTTGGGAGTGTATGGGGGATATATGTTTGAGAGAAAAAGTATTATATCAGACAAAGCCGTTAGAGACAGAGCTAAAGGAAGACAGACATACAGGATATAGTACAAATTAAAGAGCAAATTCTCCTGGTGTCCAAAACTCCCCTAGTTGGTGGATACAAATTGGAG